TTTTCATTTCTATATATTTCACGGGGAATCCCTTAAAAATCTACGTCTTAAGTCATTATCAATTCACGCTCTGAAGTTAACAACCGTCTTTGTTCGGGGAATACCTCGGTTGTATCTTAAACATCGCAGTGATAATTATTGACATTGTTCGGGGAATCCCTCGATTGTATTTATAACGATCGCAGCGTAGATTCTGAAGTTACGACACAAATAACCTGTTATTATAATCAATTAAGTAAATTGCAAGCATGAATCAGCTTCAATATAACAGACTAACTATTCCCACGCGATTTCACCTGCCGTTCGGATTTTGGATCGTGGTAAGCTCGTCGCCGTACAGTAGAGGAGTTACAATACAAGTGAGATGCCTTTTGGAAGTTCCGAATTTGAGGTTGTGGGTGGAGGGAATATTGGTAACCTCACTCGCACGACGAAACACAATGTAAGCGTTGTTTCACGCCGGTTTTTTCTCTCTCTTTCAATCGCTATCTTTGTCTCTATTCACCTCTCGAAATCTGTCCACCGTGTTTTTAGTTACGAAGTTAGTATCACCATACACAAAAATATCCTAACAATCTTTAATCAATACATAGTATAAAACAAAGTCGCTTTCGCTGTATGTCCGTATGTATGCTTAGATCTTTAAAACTACGCAACGGATTTTGATGCGGTTTTTTTTAATAGTTAGAGTGATTCTTAAGGAAGGTTTGTATGTATATACATATTGCACCCGTGCGAAGCCGGGGGGGGTCGCTAGTTTAGAATAAATGCAAGTTTGTGAGACATCCTCATGTGTGTATGTTTATTACTCTTTTACATCAAAACCGCTGAAGACATCGAGATGAAATATGGAACAGGTGTAGATTTATAGATTATGGTCTGGAATAACGCATAGGCCACTTTATATACCATGGGGACGCGTGCGAAGCCGCTGGCAGGAGCTAATCATATCATTAAAACGCTCCATGGGGACAAAAATAATACGTAACATAACATAACATCCCCAAAGGGGTGGAAGCGATGCACATCACGGCACATTATGTCACTGTACAATGTAACAACCACTTTTCACTATTTATGGTACGAGTCCCATGTAGTAGGGGGTGAGCCTATTGCCATATACGGGTCACAGTTCCAAACTCCGTGCTACTATTGAGAATTTTTAAAAAAACCAGTAATACTTTGCCCGAACCCCTTGCCCGGCACTCCGGTAATTGCACTTGCGACCACTCGGCCAACGACGCAGTCGGTATACGTATCCGTATATATAATACGTAACAAACTTTTGCATTTTTATTTTGCTAAGTATATCATGTTTGATGACAATCATTCCCATTGTCCCTACATAACAATATTAAGGGTTATCATAATGACAGACATCACGTACAATATTTTATCTCTATACTTCTACTAAGTAGTTATATTTCAAGCACTAGGTACTGAGTTGTGTGATAATGGCAGTTTTTGAAGTGTGAGAGAATAATGCTTCGGCACGAATGGGCCGGTTCGACCGGAGTGATACCACGACGTAACAGAAAACCGACGTGAAACAACGCTTGTTTTGTGTTTCGTCGTGAGTGAGGTTACGAGAGGCTCAATTACCCTCCCAGTCTCTCGAATCCCCGAATCCTCCACAATCCTCAAATTTCCAATTCCCAAAAGGCCGGTAACGCACTTGTGACGCTTCTGGTGTTCCATGTGTCCATGGACGACACCGATTGCTTACAATCAGGCGACCCGTCTGCAGCAATCCCTTATGAACCTGATACTTTTAATTTTCTGTTATTTTATGGAGTGAACTCATTGCTGATTTTTTTTTTATTTGATGGGCCGCGACGTTTGACCAGTATCTCGCCTAGTGGTAAGCGATGATGCGGTCTACGATGGAGCACGTCGTCCCATAAGCAACCTATTCACTCGGGGCTAGAAGACACCAGGTTATACCCTACAGCCGAGGTACAAGGTGAAACTCCATGCACTTTCAGAGAATTATAAAAAAAACCCAAAACTTTTGCCAATTCTGCAAACCACTGGTCAGCAGCCATTCTAATAAAGACAGCATAATCTACCCCTGTTCCATATTTTATCCTGATCCCTTCATCCGTTTTGACGTGAAGAAGTGGCAAACATACATATTTTTGCATTTACAATATTAGTAGGGCAATAAGGCATAACATCACGCCTTTTATCATCGAAGTGGGTAGACAGAGGTGCACATTATGCAACTGTACAATGTAACACCCACAACCCAGTCGGGTAATAAGATTATCAAAATAAATATATTGAAGTACTCACTTTGATTTTGACAACACGGGTGTCTCGTTAGCCGTACCAAAATACTGCTTCTCAACTGTTAGTATTAAACTGAAAAAAAAAATCTAATAAGAAAATTGCATTTTTTTATAGAACTTACATAAATGTGTCGGGGGCTCTAGCTAGTCTAAAACAGACTTTGTTGATACACAGCATTCAAATTAATTTAGATTTACCATTGGATTTAACTCGTCGAGTACCGTCATTGGACACAATTATAGAACAATAGGTTGCGGTCACCGGTGACCGCTTGGTGTTTGACAGTTTAACACAGCTGTAGTTCATATTAGACAAATAATAATATTTAACTAGCATATTCATCATCATCATCATCATCATCGAAGTCATGACTTCGTCTGTGTGGAATATGATTCCTGTTTTATCTCATAGGCACATTAAATCGGGATAAAAGGTCCAATATAACTATCACCTAAGTCAGCCCATATACCCTGTATACCAAATTTCATCTAAATCCATTCAGTAGTTGATTGACAGCCAAACATTCAAACAAAGAGGCATTCACATTTGTAATATTACTAGCTACTTCCGCGCGGTTTCACACGCTCTGCTCAGCTCCTATTGGTTGTAGCGTGATGTTTTATAGCCTACAGCCATCCTTGATAAATGCGCTATCCAACACAAAAACAATCATTCAAATCAGACTTGTAGTTATGGAGATTAGCTCGTTCAAACAAAAAAACAAACTCTTCCGCTTTATATAATAGTATAAGATAAAACTTAGTATGATTGTTATTATGTGAACTAAACATTCCAAATTGAGGCTTAATTTTAGCATCACCAATGTCATCTGAGGCTAGAAAATTGTATTATTTTGTTTAATTTTAAGGGGTATAGTTACTTTATTTTAGTAACTATGTACCGAATTTTATATTCGATAATATGGCTGACGTTTTTCTCTTAGGAAAAAAACCCTTCTTATAAATAATGATAAAAATAAATTGAGGCTATTTATTCCTCAACTAAAGGGATAGGTATTCTTAAACAAAACTATTTAAGAACATTTCGATTAACATTCCGCTTGTTGATATTACGATATATAAAAATATATTATATTTTTATATTTCATATCGTAATTCAGATGTTATGTTGCACTCAGATCTGGTTTCAAGCATGCCTCTGGGGTTAAGTACCTAATTAGGATTTTAATATGCATACTTCTATTGCTTTTATCTCATCAGCCAAAATTATTAAATGCAATTGAATTTGAAAATTACTTAGATAATGTTAGAAGTATCAAATTCTACATAAATAAGAACCAATAAGTTTTGCTCAACAATTTGTATTAGACTTATTACCATAAAAAAACCTTAATTATTAGAAAAAAAAGTTATCTACTTACTTTTTAATATGCTCTATGTATTTGTATGTGTGTGCCAGTTTGAAATCAGCCTTTTTTAACATCATTGCCTGCATTACTTTGTCACAAACATTTCTATATTTATAATCATCTAAGGACTGTGATTCCAATAACTCCATATTATCAATCACCATTATAAAAAACTCCTGGTAAGCTTTCACATGATAAAAAAACGGGAGATACAATACTTTCATTTCATCAGTGTCAATGAAGTTGTGCAACTTCATGAAATTCAAACAAAGAATGTTGTAGTCCAATTTTTTCACATAATCATCGAAAGCATCATTTATTTTTCTTATTTTGTTTTTTGGCGGCAGAATTAGCGGGTCAGCGTCAACTTTCGGCGCGTTTTTACCCCTTTTTGGCGGTAATTCTTCGTTACAACTTTCACACATCTCTGAAACTTCGTCATCAACATTTTCTTTTTGATTTTCATTAGATGGCTTGCTGCCCTCTATTGTGGACCAGTTTTCATCACTTTCTTTAGAATTATTGCAGCCTAGAGCTGTCTCTAAATTAGATTTGGCAAGAGCCATGGCACTTATGAAATATCTTTTCGATTTTAGATAATAATTACGACATAAATTTAAAAACGCGACATCAAAAATTATTATTATTATTATCTAAAAACTTTTCGCAGTCTGTACATCACTGCCTTTGATTAATATTCTACTTATTGTATTTATTTTCATAAAAAAATACGTTCCTACTACTAACGGTCAATCATGAATTAAAAGTTATTCAAGATTGAAATAAAAATATTGGTCTCGTCTCACCCTCAATTCTTAGTCTTCTCTTCATGAACGGTTATTCAACACAATTAAATTTTAAATGTGCGACTCCGACTTGCCGGCTAACTTCTACCTTCACAACTTCATGAGAGATGAAGAATGTGGATGGAAATGGAAATCAATCAATAATTTCATTAGTCGCGAACACAATTTATTGCATTTTGATTTGAATGGAGAAGGACAGCTATACGTTATTTGCAATGGTTGGTGAATGAGGGAAAATTATTATCGGAATATTTTCGCTCCAATTTGAATTTGCTGAATTCGCGAAAATGGAACGTGCGGGAATTGAGTTGAAGCAACTGTCAATTAAACTGTCAAGTCTGTCAAAATTCCTATCGCGACATGTGTTTTTTTTGACAATTTGACAACAGTAGGTTTACAGTGGATATTTTGGTAGGTTTGTTTCTTTTAGAAAAGGTGCACCAATATGTATTTGTTACCACATTATTATAAGCTTATTGATTAACTCTACGATATTGTCTAAAAATATAATTTTGTAAACTGTATAACACAAAAAATGAAATACAATTTTGAGATTACCAGTAGAAAGTTTATCTTCCATGATGACAACACTAGGAGATAATTTGACGTCCGCGAAGCGATATCATCTGCGATGTCTTCTAACAATAACAAAAATTCCGGGAATCCCTCTGTTAGTAACACAACAGAGGTGTTAGACGTGAACTGGGATGTCGAGAAATACAGGGATGAACACGAATGCGAAGATCATTGGCAATTACGCAAAGCTTTCATGGAAAAATGGAAGAACAACTTCCCCGAGGAAAGACTAGTTTGTTTAGCTCGAGTTTACACCAATATTGAGTTCATGGGCTGTAGATATCCTCCGCCAGTAATGCAACAGATCGCCCAGCTCTCATTTGAGGTAATTTTACTCTTGTAATACTAAAATTTACTAACTTATTGGATTCGGCAATAAAACAACCTTAAATCTTTGTTTACCTATTAATTCAGCAATAAATGTTATTATAGTACGTTTATACGTTGTTTATTTACATTGCTTTTAGTTTTATTAACGATTACTTTTGCACATTTGAAATAACATGTTAAAATCCTATAGCTTTTATTATTTTAATCTTGTTATTGGTGCTGATGCTATATAATTATGGCTGATAGTGAATATTTTGTATCTATTTATGAAATATATTACTTTCATTCATCATCATCTACAGAAGACCTTTTGTAACATATTGTAAAAAAAATAATTGTATGACAAAGGCACGGACCAAGAGTCTGTGGCGAATTAATATTGAATATTATAAAAAAAGGCATCCACTACTGGACAAAAACCTCCCTCATACTTCTACATTTGAGATCAACTTCAGTGATTTAAACTGTCAAACACCAAGCTGTCACCGGTGACCGCAACCTATTATTCTATAATTGTCGCGGAGAACCTAACGGGTAACCGGGGCTCCGACTCGACGTGCAGGAGAAAGAACGGTGTGGTTTTTAGTCAGTAAGAGTCTGACACTCCCTCCCGCCTCACCCAGGCGGGAGCAGTCATTCGTTGATTTTCCACCCTTAAAAAAAAAAATTGTTCTATAATTGTGTCTATAATGAGGGTCCTCGACGAGTTAAATATTAAACTGTTAAACACCAAGCGGTCACCGGTGACCGCAACCTATTGTTCTATAATTGTGTCTATAATGACGGTACTCGACGAGTTAAATATTAATAAGAATAATTTGACTGTCTTGTAGGCACTGTCACTGGGCAACCAACCAGATATTATTGACATGTAAAAGTGCTGCCTTGTACCTTATTTGCAGAAATAAATTCACTTGTTTCACTTGGTAGCAGCATATGCACATTTAACATTTCTCTTTATATTGTTCAAATTGTTGTTTTGAATGAATATCAACATTGAATTAAAAAAAAAACGGTAACAATAATAAACTCATCAAAATTCCAGGCTGGCCGTCAATTCCGAGAGAAAAAGAAATCAAAACTACAACGCACATTTGTTTCTGCGTCAACCGCAGCAGAAGACAGAGCTCGTGGAATTAAACGAGTTGGAGGTGAAATTGTTACTGAAGATAAACCGAAATCTGCCCGAATAGCATTCGTACCACAAGGAAAAGTAATAGAAGATGATGAAAAAGAGAAAGATTCGGATGGAGATGAACACCAAAACCAGGGTTCAGATCATGAATTGGACGTTGCTAAGAAATCGTTTGACCTAAGCACAACGTCAACTGATAAAAATACAAAACAGTCCGAAGGAGAAGACTATTTTACAGAATTATCTAATCTTAAATGTTTAGATGTACGATTGTTTAGGGAAAAGATGTTTGATAGTACATTCGGACGTTTGGTGCTGTTGATCCGACCGTGGGCTAGGAAAATATGGAATATACAGAGTGAGTATGAATTTTGATTATAAACATCGGCCTCTACAATAATAATTGGCCTTAGTCTCTGTGTTGGAGATTCTATTTTAATAAAAGGATTAAGTTTACCAGGTTTGATAAACTGGTTTCACAACATCTGTACAATTACTGAACTTTATTACTCTATTTTATTGTAAAATCTCAGGGCTTCAGGGCAGATTGAAACGACACCGCGTACAACACTCTAGTTGGTTAGTTCATTGGAGCCGGCCAATCAGAGTGCCGAACGCGTACTCGTTTCGAATACTTTAAACGTAAAACAAGAATCGCGGAGAACCTAACGGGTAACCGGGGCTCCGGCTCGACGTGCAGGAGAAGGAACGGGGTGGTTTTTAGTCAGTAAGAGTCTGAAACTCCCTCCCGCCTCACTCAGGCGGGAGCAGTCATTCGATGATTTTCCCCCTTAAAAAAAAAAAAACGTAAAAGAAACTCGCACTAAGGCCTCTGATTGGCCGGCTCCTATGAACCAACCAACCAGTGTCGAACGCGGCCTCGTTTCGATCTCCCTCTGTAATGAGAATGAGTCCATCACCAATAACACATTGTATTTTTGGATTGAGACTTATCGTTCAGCAGTCCACATGTGACCAAAAATCAAAGTCAAAATCATTTATTTCAATTAGACCAGGAAGGCACTTTTAAACGTCATAACAAAATATTGAAATATTAACCCTTTAACCGCCGACAACGTAATATTACGGTTTTCGAAAGCTGTGTCCGAATCGCCACATACGTACAATCACGTTATTTTATTAAAAATCTTCTTATAGTGCACAAACTCCATATAAAATGTGTCAATTTCAAGATGTAGGGTATAATCTTTATTGTTATGGATATTTCTCAATGTTTTGAGTGATAAATACTGTGAAATTTGAGGTTTAATTAAATTGTGGTCACCGTCTCCATTATCTGTATCGCCAATCACGTAATTTTACGAGTACTAGGGATGGGGCGAATTCGAAAAATACTTAATAGGTTGTCTAAGAACAAACAAGGCACTATAGATATTACTGTCACTATTTGCAATGAAAGTGTATACTTTCATTAGAAAATAACCATAGTGTTACTTTGATGCAAGTATTTGTACTAATTAAAATGTATTTAAGTTTAAAATTATTTAATATTTATAACAATAATATAAAAATTTCATAACGCAGAACCGCACTAGTGCGGACAATCGCCGGTCGCCATCATCGTAATATTACGTGCGGCCAAGGAGATTATAGCGCTGTATTGTGAGTTGCCTTAGCGCCGTCACCGTAAAATCACGTTAAACATTTATCACTCAATGCAACTAGTGTTGTAAGCCCTTTTTTGGGTTTTTGTTATTTCTCAAATAAATCAACACAGTCAAAACCAAATGTGTCCATTATGCAAAGTTAGAAGATGGTGACGCAAAAGTTTTTGATCAGAGACCAAGTGATCCACGAAATGAATACTTTGCATCTTTAAAACCTTTTGAGCTGGAAACCGTACTGTCTGTCTTCTGTGTGTGTACTCAGAAGTTTACATGAAATTATTAAAATTAATTAGACATGCTCGTGGAGCATCGTCACCGTCGCCAGCAGGAGAACGGACGACGCCGTGCCCATTTCCCGAATACACATTTTCGTATACTTCGTTTGAAGATTGAAAATTTTTAGATTATTTATTAAGTAGGTAAATAAAACATTGATTTTAATTAATAAAGAATATATGCATCGATATTAAGTGTTCCCAACACTGTTCCAACTTATACCTAAAGTGACGTGGCGCTGGAGATAAGTTGAAAGTTCAGAATCTTGGCGGTTAAAGGGTTAAATAATGAGAAAAAATTACAGGTCAGTCCTCTAGTGAAGCTATTTGCTCGTTCCAAAGTGTAGATTCATGTCGCGGAGAACTTAACGGGTTACCGGGGCTCCGGCTCGACGTGCAGGAAAAGGAACGGAGTGGTTTTTAGTCAGTATGAGTTTGACACTCCCTCCCGCCTCACCCAGGCGGGAGTAGACATTCGATGATTATCCCCCCTAAAAAAAAAGTGTAGATTCCTATGGAGTAGAACGAGAAAGAAACTCCATATCCTTTTTCAATCAGGTTCACAATATAATTTTTGGCATTCTTTCGTTGAGTTCAATTATGTGAGAACAAATAGTTAAAGACAATAAAACTTTTTTTTTTCAGCTAGCTGTCAAGTATGTGGATTATGTATCACTAATGGATATGAAAACAAGAGCTACACTTTACGTATCAACCAAAAATTGTTGGTGCAAGCGTCAGGCGAAACCAAAGTTGAGGCTAAGAATGCCGCTGAAATTATGGCGTGGGAGGTTAGTTACCACTTTTTACTTTTTACGGGCTTCAAAAAAGGAGGAGGTACTATGTTTGGATGATTGTTTTTTTGTTTGTTTAACAATTACTCCGCCAATGGAACAGAGGTTGTACTCCCGAGAGGGTCCCATTTTCATCTGGTTAGGATCAGATGATGGAATCCTAGAGAAACAGAGGGGAACAATAATAGGCTATTCGCATCTATCAACAATAAGTTATAACGTTATGTTATTTTTATAGTTTAAAACGTGAGGAATTTAAAAAAAAATGTTGTTATGCCATAAAAACATAGGATTCATTATAAATTTCAAAGTTAAAATCAAAGTTTTATTATCTGTATGTCCCGTGACCAAAAACGTCGTCCGCCATGATTTTCTCGAGAGTGACGTTGGTCGGAAGTATCAAAATATTTTATAGTAAACAATGTCAAAGTCTTGTCAAGTCAAATTTTAACCACTTTTTGTGTTTAATAAATAAAATTTTAATGTAGAATTCTTGCAATTTAACGCAATATACCAACGATCGGTTATTGAAACTCATCTTTATTTTATAAATACAACAAAATCACAACGCAACCAACTTGTTTACAAAATCTATGGCTTGGCCATTTGACGTTTCAATATTTTTACCCGACTGCCAAAGAAGGAGGGTAATGTTTTTCGAGTGTATGTAAGTATGTATGTATGTCTTTTCCTTTGTGACCACCTGTAGCCTAAACGGCTTGATGGATTTTGATGTATGAGGTATCGTTAGATTTGTCTTGATTACGGGAGTGTCATAGGATACATTTTATCCTAAAAGTCCCACGGGATAAAGACATAATAATATTTTTTCTAAATTTCCCTTTAAAAAAATATGTATGCGGTATCATTAGATTCATTTCAATCACGGGAGTAATTAATATAGGATACGTTTTTTCTCAAAATTCCCACGGGAACATGTTAATTCTGCGTCAACGCAAAGCAACTCATGCGTTAGCAAGCAAAAAGATAGGGCGTGGCCTGGCATGCGGCGCGCGGCGCGGTGCGGAGGGGGATATGCTCGAGTATACAGCCCGATTGCGGGCACACGCATGAGGGCACACGTCGTTGACGGTCGTCTCTAAATAGCGATTTTATTCGATATATCCCTATTTGTATATATCGAAATAAAAACAGCTAAAAAGTTATAAATAAAAAAATTATTATTAAAAAAACAAAATACCCGACTGCACACTAAAAAAAGAGTAAAACAAGCCCCACAATAATATTGATCAATCAAATGCTAAAAACTAATTATGTAATACCGTTTAAACAATACCTATATTAAAATACACTACAATATGTGTTCGTAATCGATAGTTAAATAAACAGAAACTTATTTTGAATACAAATTTACTGAATATAATTTATAAATGTTGATGGAATGCATCGCAGGCGGGGACCAACAGAGGCTTATTTATAGTCATTTCGGTTGTGCACCATTTAGCAGAATTTTCGTTGGTGGCGGTCAAGGTGGTCCCCGCCTGCGATGCTTTCCATCAACATTTATAAATTATATTCAGTAAATTTGTATTCAAAATAAGTTTCTGTTTATTTAACTATCGATTACGAACACATATTGTAGTGTATTTTAATATAGGTATTGTTTAAACGGTATTACATAATTAGTTTTTAGCATTTGATTGATCAATATTATTGTGGGGCTTGTTTTACTCTTTTTTTAGTGTGCAGTCGGGTATTTTGTTTTTTTAATAATAATTTTTTTTCAACTACTGATGTCACGAAAATGGCGGTTCGTGTTTTGGCGCGTATATTTTACGACAATTTTTTTCAGCATAAAGCGGTCATATTTTGCTGAAATAAAAATTATACTTGATAATAAGATATTTTACTTATATTTCTAATAGGGAGAATAGCCTATTGTAAGGGCAAGTAATGCGCCTATTGTTTTTCAATAAGGATTTTTAAACAGTACAATTTGATAAGGGTGGAGTCCACCTGATGATGGAGTCGACAGACAGTCGAGGGAACTCCTCACCCGTTTATTGTAACTACCTTGTGTTTTGGCTTGATTCATTTGTATATTGATGAGAATTTTGCAGCTTAGTGGATTATAATGGTCAAACGGGTCTATATAGCTTTTAGATATGAGCGCCGGTACTTGATAAGTCGGCGGCGGCGCGCCGACATAAAACAGTCAGCGGCGGCGGCGCAGTCGGCGGCGCGTATTTTGAGACAAGAAACAAAGAGATCAACATTTTTTTAGATCTATTAAACTTTTATGACGAAATAATGAAATATCCTAATAACATTTGCAAGTACAAATAAAATCAACAGTACCATCAGGTTTAAATAATAATAAAACAATACAGAGGTACATAACCTAAGAAGCTAAGCAAGCTAAGCTATTGATAGGCTTTTTTGGCAATTGAGTCCAGGTACACTACAGTAGTTGTAGGTACACATAATTACAACCTAATCATAGAGCCCACACTTACAATATGTAGCAAAATAATAAGAAAAACGAAACAAAGTTTAACGAAATTTATGCATCGACTATTCAAACAAGCAACCTAATATCAGCTTTGCACTGTGTGTAATTGTCATGAATGAATATAATACTCTATCTAATGAATGATTTACTCTCAAAGGATTTAGTCGGGATCTTTTAGCCGTTATCAATTGTCCAGCGACGGAAAATACTCTTTCGCTTGGGGTACTTGTCGCTGGGACGAATAGTACTGCACGCGCCAAACTTGACAACCACGGAAATGATTTCTTTCGATCTTGCCACAATATTCAAGTATCTTCATAAGCCTGAAGATCTGCGGCCATGGCTGTACTGAAAACACTTGCTCACCCAAAACTATCCTTATTTTCCCTCCAACGTTCACAATTAATTGCCCGAAATGGTTTCAACAAGAACTGTGTTTGTTGGTGGATATTTTATTTAAAACAATTTCAGACAGCTTCCTTATTTTAGTTTTTGTAACGTCTACCTCTTCTGTTGACATTTTGTACTTATTTTGTAACATATAATACGCGCGGGCGTAGCGAACAGCGGGAGCGAACTGAGTTTTGCCAGCCGGCCGGCGCGCCGTCCGCTTCCGTCGGCGGCGGCGGCGCGGAGGTAACGCGCGGCGGCGCGCCGGCGCGGCGCTCATATCTAATAGCTTTACACTAAAATTGTAAAATAAAATAATAAAAACATTACCCTCCTTCTTTGGCAGTCGGGTAAAAACTGCGTTTAAAAACCGACTTCGTATGCTCGGATCCAACAAGGCAACAATCCTGGTGGGCTTCGTCTATGGTTTGATGGCACTTTTAGGCCCGCCTCTTACTTGTCAGGTGGTGAGCTATCCTTGCTTGCCGTCCGCAAACTCGCGCTTACGGCGGCCGGAGGTGCCGACGACGCGACGTGATACTACACCCAAAGCGTCTCCTGTTATCTCCGGAAAATGTTAGAGGATACACGATGGATTTCGAGTTACTCTCGAAAGTGATCGTGGTCGCTCGATGGTTTTCGAGTTACCCTCGAAAGTGATCGAAGACACTCAATAGTTTTCAAGTATTTCTCGAAAGTGTTCGAGGAGGCTCGATAGTTTTCGAGGATGCTCGAAACTGAACGAGGACGCGTTTTCGAGGACGCCCGAAAGTGATCGAGGACGCTCGATTGATTTCGAGGACGCTCGATTGATTTCGAGGACGCTCGAAAGTGTACGAGGACGCTCGATAGTTTTCGAGGACGCTCGATTGATTTCGAGGAAGCTCGATAGTTTTCGAGGATGCTCGAAAGTGTACGAGGACGCTCGATTGATTTCGAGGACGCTCGAAAGTGATCGAGGAGGCTCGATTGAGTTCGAGGACGCCCGAAAGTGATCGAGGACACTCGATTGATTTCGAGGACGCTCTATTGATTTCGAGGACGCTCGATTAATTTCGAGGATGCTCGATAGTTTTCGAGGCTGCTCGATAGTTTTCGAGGACGCTCGACTGATTTCGAGGACGCTCGAAAGTGTTCGAGGACGCTCGATATTGGGCTATTGGGCCCCATCCGTCCGTGGTGGTCAGAAGTCTGATGGCTGTTTGAGGTGCGCCCGGAACGTGACGCGCCGTACATTCGGACGCCGTACATTCGCCGTACATTTTATATACCATATATACCAGGGATGGCCAACTTGTTTAGACCCCAGATCGATTTTTCCCCGACGACACCTAGTACGATCTACCAATTACATTATTGCTTAAAATCTGAAATGAAACAGCATAATTCGTACACAATCTTGTAGTACTTTTATTTAATTATGAGGGATAATATAAAACTACAAATTATTTTCTTGGTAATATTATTGCAGTTGGTAATATCATTGTGCAGTGTTCTATGTACGTATTTGATTTTTTTTAATTGCCAAGATCGTCTGTAATTATAATCGATCCGGTCGAACCGGTCGATCGCGATCGACTGGTTGGCCACCCATGATATATACCATAATTATGCATATCGTATGCTGCTGCTGCCGAGAACCTCAAACGGCGAAAGTATGATAGCCTGATTGGCAATTATGCTTTCGAACCGTTTGGGGTTGAAACTTTAGGGCCGTGGGGCCCAAGTGCACATTTATTTATTTATTTATTTATTTATTTATTAAGAGTTACCAACATTTGATTACACAACTACAGTAAGCATAATACAAGCAAGCAAAGAGGAATGAGCCTATGTGTAACAAACAATTACAGGTAACCACAACATTTACTGGTGCAAATATGTGTATATAACAAAAAAAAGTTCTTAATTACTATCCTTAAATCTAGTTCTAACACAAAATACTAAACCATATAGGTACATAATCCACTATCTGTGTTGATTGGATAATATGCATTTATGCACGCTGGAACGGAACCGACCAAGCGAGTCCAAGTGAACATCTGTGGAATCAGAGTATTTATTCAGGGCGTGACTCAGACGTGGTATGGGTGAGTTTGCACCAAGCACTGTTCTACGACGCGGTGGGTATAAAGGGGTTATCTGTTTACGAGGGTAACAAAAAGGAACTCTATAATTTACCTTGCTCAAGAGCTGTGGACAGTCTACACCATTGTTTAAAATCTTATACATAAAGATACAATCGGAGAGTTCTCTGCGATCAGATAAAGAGACCATCCCGAAATGTGACAGTTTGTTCAAGTAAGAAGATTTTTTGTCTATCTTGTTCTCCCTGCGTAACAAATGCCATAAGAACCTCTTCTGAATGCGTTCTAATCGAAGGGAATGTACCGCATAATGTGGTCTCCACACTACACTGCAATAATCTAAGATACTTCGCACAAGACTATTATACAGCATGATTTTCAGCCCAACATCGCGAAAGACTTTACAGTTTCTTATCACGAAACTCAACATTCGGGAAGATCTCCCCACAATGTTTTCCAGGTGAGGGAGGAAAGTCAACCTTTTGTCAAACCAAACTCCGAGGTCCCTTATTTGGTCTACCGCCTGAATTCTGTCACCTCCTATGAAATAATCAAAGCCTATTATTTTGCTTTTTCTAGAAAACTTAACATGAAAACATTTTTTTCCGTTCAAATCCATACCATTACAATAGCACCATTTAGTCAATCTACAGAGATCGCTCTGAAGGAGCATGGCATCCTTTTCTGATTCTATTATCCTCCCCAACTTTAAGTCGTCAGCATACATAAAGCTCTCAGAGAATTGGAAACATGTCGGCAAATCATTTATAAACACGTTAAAAAGTATTGGACCCAGATGGGAACCCTGCGGCACCCCAGATGTAACTTTCCAATTGCCAGATCGGAAGCCATTGACAACGACAAAAGAAGAGCGCTCTGCAAGATATGATTGCACCCATTCCAGCGAGGCACCCGCTAACCCGTATGTGCAAAGCTTCTGCACCAGCAACCGATGTGGGACGCGGTCGAAAGCCTTACTAAAGTCCGTATAAACCACATCATATTGTTTGTTAGAGTCCATAGCTTCAGTCGCCATCTCAGTGAACGCGACTAGATTGGTACAGGTTGATCTTTTTTTAACAAATCCATGTTGGCTACTACTAATATACCTACTAAAGTGACTTTGAATGTAAGGGCACACCAGAGCTTCAAATATTTTTGCAAAGGTCGAGAGAATCGAGATTGGCCTGTAATTACTTACAACTGTCTTACTATTACATTTATGAATAGGTACAACCATAGCAACTTTCCATTCAGCTGGGAAGACTCCAGTCCTAAGGGACTCATTAAAAATTAACAGAAGTGGGCTTACCAAATATTTAGCACAGGTCGATATGAACACCGGGGGTATTCCATCAGGTCCTGCACCCTTATTACAGTCCAAGTTCTTTAACCTAGCGAGAAGCGAATCACACTCTATAGCAGGGAATGTCATATTTAAACCGTAACTATGCATATTATTTAAAAAGAGATTATTATTGTTGTCATGCGACACCACACCCCCAGCACTTTTGGTATGTGTATATACCGACGCAAAACAACGCGCAAACAATTCGCATATATTCGACCCGTTCGAAGTCGTTATCGTCCCATCAGTCATTGCTACAGGATACGAGCACGAACTACCCCGCCTAGCTTTGACATAAGACCAAAAGAACTTAGGATTATTTTTAATCTTTCTCTCCAAATCAACTATATAATTCCGATAGCATATATCTGCCACCTTCCCACAACGCCTACTTACCAGTTTTAGCTCTATCTCATCCATAGGATTTTTGTATTTTTTGTATCGATTTCTAAGTTTATATTTTTCTTTCAGCATTCCTATTAGATTCCTATCAAACCATACAGGGTAGCGAGTGCATCTCTTTCTGCACTTTGGTACGAACTTCTCAATTGCTGTACGAATATATTGATAAAAGACATCAAGCAACACATCGACACTATTCAAACCCTTGAATATTTCACTCCAATTCAGTTCAGCCAAAAACCTGTGAATCCGAACATAATCTGCTTTATAGTAGTTATATTTTGTGTTACCAGTGCTAAAAGAGAGACCCTCCTCAAATTCAACAGGAATGTCTATTTCCAGAGGTGGATGCAATTTATCGATTGTACTCAAACCATTTGAACATTCCGTCACACAACAAGAAGGCAAATCACTAATCACCAAGTCAAGTATTCGCCCGGACTTGTTACAGATGCTATTATGCTGAGTCAGCTCATTCAAATTCATAAAATCAATTAAAGTTCGACTAACGGTAGGAACGATGTAAACACTAGAAGAATCACGTAGTCGGTCCCAGTCCACAAGCCCTTGATTAAAATCACCCACAATAACGGTACACATATCATCTATTTTATCAAAGATTTTATTACATTGATCGACAAAATGTTCCAATACAGATCGTTGCACTGGAGGTGGCAAATAAACAGCGCAGAGAGCCATTCGACGCCAGGCACCCCCCTTAATAATATCTATAGTTATCCATAAATCCTCACAATTACTATCCCATTTATACATACGTTCACATTTTATTTTTTTAGACACTGCTATCAGTACGCCACCCCCATCCTTTGTATTATTAAAGTCACATTTCTCCCTATCCCTTCTATATACATTGTACCTGTCATCGAAAAGCTCACCACTCAGTACCTTATCATTAAGCCACGTCTCCGTAAGAATAACAATATCATAACCCACACAACATAAGTTACGATAGAACTCGTGGGTTTTTGTTCGTAATCCGCGTGTGTTTTGGTAATATAAACTTAAATGAGAGAATTTTAATTATAATTTCAAATAACCAATACAATTGCTGTGCGGCGGGTATTAAACTAGCTTATCTAGAGCTGCAATATTTTTCACAATAATATATTGCGCCCCGTCCTGCCTTCTCATAAAAATCTTTCCGTTCCTCACCCAAACATACCTATATTGTTTTTCTTTAGCTTTCAACCTGGCTGCCGCATGAAGAGCCCTGTTGCTCGGAGACAAGTGCTCGGTTACAAAAATCGGGGTTTTATCACCAGAAAAACCAAGAATTGAGCTGTTTAATTTATTTTCAGGATTGTTTTTATTATATTTTATTGTTGACGCAAGCAACCTATCTCGAACTCTCGTTGAAACTAACTGTACAACTATGGAACGTGGTCGTGCACTGGAGCCATCCTGTTTGGCTGTGCGAGTACAATGCACAATGTCATCTTCCTGGATGTTACAACTCACCACACTGCTAAGCTTGTTAACAATATCATACAAATTTTCATTCTTCCTCTCTGGCACACATTGCAGTTCCACGTTGCCACATCTTCTTTACAAAGATATTGTAAAGAGGATGGTTGACACTTCAGGTGATCGAAGGGCTGGCTTCTACCTTGGACAAAGGTTAAGCATTGCCATTCAACGTGGTAATGCTGCCAGTCTTTTGGGCACCCTACCTCACGATAATGATGAGGAAAATTTTTTTTTGATGCCTTATTATAGCTTATTTATTTATTATTACCTTTTTTTTTAAGGTGTAAATATTTTAGTTCATAGTTATTTATATTTTAAGTTGTATATATTTTCATTTAGTTATAGTTGATATTAATTTTATGTATGCACATAACAAAATAACATTTTTTACATTTTTTTTTCTATCTGTCTGCCTGTCTGTTTGTAATCTCTGAAATAGCTGGACCGATTTTGACGGGAGTTTTATTGGCAGGTAGCTGATGTACTAAGGATTAACATAGGCTACTTTTATTTTGGAAAATTGCCCACAGCTAGTATTTGAATAAAATAGAACTTTATTTACAGAGATTAAAGCGCGAAGTGGTGTGCTTATTGATAAAAGAGCAGTTTATAGCTCAGGGCGACACGCGAATCAGTATGAGTGATGTGTCCGGCAGGAAGAGAGACGATGTCTTCGGAACTCCTGTGGAAAACTCCGTTGCTATGAAGTAAGTAACATAACATAACATTCAGAGGTAACATTCAGGCAGAGGTGCACATTTCAGCACTTAATGCCACTGTACAATGTAACACCCACTTTTCACTATTTATGTTATGAGTCCCATGTAATAAGGGGTGAGCCTATTGCCATATACCGGGCACATTTCCAGACTCCGTGCTACTATTGAGATTTTTAAAACCCCAGTAATACTTTGACCGACCCGGGAATCGAACCCGAGGGTTGCCCCGAGTCGCACTTGCGACCACTCGGCCGACGAGGCAGCTTATGAAGTAAGTATTTATATCTATTTTTCTATGATGAAGGAGAGACAAACGAATAGTGGAGCCAGGTACGCTATTCTGTGGCTTTCAATTCAAAAGATCGTAGTGAACTCGATCGCGGTCCGCCATATCATTGGTTGTGACTTGTGATAATAATTTCGACCAAAGACGGGCTTTTTTTTAAGGGGGGAAAATCATCGAATGACTGCTCCCGCCTGGGTGAGGCGGGAGGGAGTGTCAGACTCTTACTGACTAAAAACCACCCCGTTCCTTCTCCTGCACGTCGAGTCGGTTACCCGTTAGGTTCTCCGCGACTCCACCAAGAACGGGCTAGAATCCCATTGAGCTCACTTTGAAAGTTCGATTCAGAGTTACAAAATAGCGTAGCTAATGATGAGCAATCGGAATCGCCTATGGATAGTAGAGGAGTCACCAATCCGTTACTTGCATTTGAAAGGACGTTTTCTAGATAATAACATAACATCACGCCTTTTATCCCTGAAGGAGATAGGGGATAGGGTGATAGGGGGTGAGCCTATTGTCATATACCGGGCACAACTCCAGACTCCGTGTTACTACTGGGTTTTTTTTAAACCCAGTAATACTTTGCTCGACCCGGGAATCGAACCCGAGACGCCTTACCCGGTAGTCGCACTTGCTGTTGCGAGCACTCGGCCAACGAGGCAGTCTTTGTAGATAATAATATATACAAAAACTATGAATGTGTTTACCTCTAAAGCTCTGTTTATTTTGTCTATAGTGACGTCCAGGCTATTATCATTATGGCGGTTGGTGTTTTCACAGGAATTCAAAATGAATAAGATTTTATTTCATTGTGTTTTGTGACTACTTAGCGATGTCAGTTTTAGAAAAAATAAAAAACTACTTATAGTAAAATGACTACGTCACAAACATGTTAACATGCTTTTAAAAAATGTCATATATCTTATACTTCTTTCGGTCACTCAATTCGTTAATTATTATGTCTTTCGGTTTACGTATTTATTTGATGAGGAACTCGACTAGTTTCAATGTCAAGCCATGCTAGAGACTCATGTTCATGAGCAGCATTCAGCGACCCGCGACGCGGCATCTGTTGCGCTGCTGGTGCAGCCGAAAACGTAATAATTAATTTAGTATGAGCTGTAATACTTAACTCATACCTATTATCCGTAATTCTAATCCTAATAATTAAACTATTTATTTCAGAATGATGAAAATGATGGGTTGGCAAGGAGGGGGGTTGGGTGCCGACGCGCAAGGCATAGCGGAACCCATCAAACCTAACTTGCAAATGGTACGTATGTTTTTAATATTATCGTCATTTTGTTTCCCTCGTGAGAACGCTCTAGACACCTCATAGGCGCCCCTTATATTTTTGGCACCGCCGGTACTCTATGGTAAGTTGGGCACGCGTTACGCAGCGCCTTTTTGATACCGTGCGCCCTTACTAGAGGACCCGGTGTCCCCTGCAGTTTTAGTGAGTTAAAAATCCCACACTTCCTAGTCTTTCTCCCCAAAAGGTTTTTTTTTAACTCGTCGAGTACCCTCATTATAGACACAATTATAGAACAATAGGTTGCGGTCACCGGTGACCGCTTGGTGTTTGACAGTTTAAGGGAGAAATATCAATGAATGACTGCTCCCGCCTGGGTGAGGCGGGAGTGAGTGTCAAACTCTTACTGACTAAAAACCACCCCGTTCCTTCTCCTGCACGTTGAGCCGGAGCCCCGGTTACCCGTTAGGTTCTCCGCGACTCCCCAAAAGGTTAGGCGCCTTTTGAAGGTTGATCAGGGGCATCATAAAAAGGCACTTGCCTAGTTTGCCTAAGGGATTATACGACTCTGCATCCACTGCTGAATTTAGACCTTTTCAATAGCATGCCATTGAACATTACCTTTAGTTCTTTGTATCCAACTACTGCTAACTAAATAGCAGATATTAAAGACAACATTTTTTTATTGGGATAGAGGGAATTAATTCGTCGAGTACCGTCATTATAGACACAATTATAGAACAATTAGGTTGCGGTCACCGGTGACCGCTTGGTGATTGACAGTTTAAACGAGCAGACAAATCACCTGAGGGCTTACTCTTAAATCCAATTCCGATCGATCGACATTGGCATTGTGAAATTTCGTACTTAATGGGTTGCCGGGGCTCCGGCTCGAAGTGCTAGTAGGAACGGGGTGGTTTCAGTCAGTAAGAGTCTGACACTCCCTCTCGCCTCACCCGGGCGGGAGAAGTCATTGGATGATTTTCCCCCCTCAAAAAAGAAGTGTCGCAACACTAGCGCCTATTGCATCCGTAGTGCGTGGATATTGAATGAAATTAATGGTATTGAGTTTGGCTCTGAATGCTATCTTAACAGCTACGTTAGGGGTTGTATAGTTTTCACATTGAATAACGGTAAAATGGGGTGGATAGGGATCGAGAGGGATAGAAGAGGGGTGAATTGATACTATGAAAAATATCCCAATATCGATTCACCCCTCTTCTGCCTCTATTCACCTCTCGATCCATATCCACCCCATTTTACGATAATTATTAGATTGAAATTGCATTGACATTGAGATTGATTTCAAGAGTAAGCAACTAAGCACCCTGATGGTAAACAATCGGTGCCGCTCATGGTCACTCGCAACACCAGAAGAATTACAAGTGTGTTTCCAGCTCAGCCTTAAGGGGATTTGAGGATAGGGGGTGAATGCGCCTCCAATAATAATAATATATGTTTTATTGTACACCACACAATCGCATTATAGGATAAACATTAACAAAAATAGTATACAATGGGCGGTCTTATCGCACAAGGCTATTTCTTACAGACAACCTTTGGATGGAGCAGTAATAGAAGTCTGTAATATGGGTCGTCAAGTGTTCAATTAACCTCATTCCCACTGCGAAACACAACGCAAGCGTTGTTTCACGCCGGTTCTGTCTAAAGCCGTCATATCACTCCGGTCGAGCCGGCCCATTCGTGCCACCATGGCTCTCTTATAGTAAAACTATATTTAATATTTCTTTCATAAGCTACGTTTAAAAAAACCGACTTCAACCCCTTCTTTTTTCAAGTCTAGTACATTTTAGTACGCGTGGTGGCCCGGAGGTTTAAGACGCACTCATGCATGAGGGTACGAGTTCGAAACCTACCAACGACAAGTACCAATGTGACTTTTTCCGAGTTATATCTACTTTCTAAGACTATCTAGATACCACTGACATACGGTGAAGGAAAACATCGTGAAGAAACCTGCGCTTATAATTTCTAATTATAAGTTTGTAATCGCCAATCCGCATTGAGCAAGCGTGGTGATCAATGCTCAAACCTTCTCCGGGTGAGAAGAGGCCTTTGCTCAGCAATGGGCATTTATAGGCTGTTGATGATGATGACGTTTTAGTAATATTAAATCCTTCTCCTAACAAACACTTTTCTGAAAACCATATCGAAATCGGTTCAGCCAATCGCGAGATAATTGCGCACAAACATACATTTTTACACATAGGTAAAACTGAGAATCTCAATTCCTCCGCTAAGGCTGCTTACCCTTGAATCCAATTCCGATCGATCGACATTGGTATTGCGAAATTTCATACTCTTGAATTACAACACTAGCGCCCATTGCATCTGTATTGCGTGGATATTGAATGAACTAAATGGTATTGAGTTTGGCTTTATGTTCCGTACTCTGAATGCTATTTCGACAGCTACTAAAGGGGTTGTACAGTTTTGACATTGAATAATTATTGAGATTTTATTGGATTGAAATTGCATTGGCATTGAGATTGGTTTCAAGAGTAAGCACCAAGGTCGGTCAGTGACACCCATGGCGTTTAATTTGTTAAATACCACAATATTCTTACTAACAGGTAGACAGAGCAGGCCTGGGCAGTGCTCAAGGTGTGAAAAATCTTCGTCGAGCAGCTCAAGCGTTAATGCAACGCTACATAGCATCAGACACGATTGATTTAGATCTAGTCTTTACAAGTGATTTCGCGAAACCGGAGCGAGCGACACTGCATCAGCTGGCGCAGAGGATTGGGTTGGCTTCGAGGAGTTATGGGGAGGGAGATGAAAGGTATTGTATTTAATATTTGACACGTCATATTGCGTCATGCTATTTATAACTGAAACAGTAGGCAGAAGTGCTAATGACATAATCCTAAGTGTGGGAGAGCCATGCTTCGGCACGAATGGGCCGGCTCGACCGGAGTGATACCACGGCCTTACAGAAAACCGAAGTGAAGCAACGCTTGCGTTGTGTTTCGTCGTGTGAGTGAGGTTACCGGAGGCCCAATTACCCCTCACTTCCCCAATCTCCCCAATTCCTGAATCCCCAACGATCCTCAAACTCCTAATCCCTAAAAGGCTGGTAACGCACTTGTAACGCCTCTGGTGTTCCAGGTGTCCATGCGCGACGCCGATTGCTTACCATCAGGTGATCCGTAAGCTCGTTTACCGGCTTATGCCATAAAAAAATCTACTTATTTTATAAATTTGAAAGTTGTGTGTGTGTGTGTGTTTGTTTGTTTGTTTGTTACTCTTTCAAGTCAAAACATCTGAAGGGATCGAGATGAAATTTTGAACAGGGGTTGATTATGGTCTAGAATTACACATAGGCCAAGTCAAAGTCAAAGCATTTATTTCAATTAAACCATAGTTTGGTACTTTTGAAACGTCAACAAATACAAAATAAATAATAGTCTGTCAGTCAGTCCGTCAGTGAAGCTAGGTGAAGCTAGGTGCTCATTCCAAAACGTAGATTCGAATGGAGAAGAACGAGCAAGAAACTCCATTCGTTACTCTTTTAAAAAAGTATGTTCTACATCTACAATGTCTCACTGGCAGAAACTAGTTGCGCATAATGCGAAATGTACAAAATGTGCAATCGGGCTTCCGGTAACACTCACACGATGAAGCGTTGTTTCAAGTCGATTTTTTGTGACGATTAAGAAGTTAATGTAGATATTGATTTTTTTTTTCAGATTCCTAGTAGTAAGAAAGAAGTTGGACCCATTCTCCTTAGTTCGTGCCGTTATCGAGAAAGGAGGTATCACGCCGAAGTACCAAGTGTTTTTGCCAGAGAATCTTATGCAGAATGTAATACATTAACGTCAATCTTCATCATTCATCAAACATCATTCATCATTAGCTGGAAGATGTCCACTGCTGGACAAGGGCGCTCTAATTAGCCGTTTCTTATTTTTATTTTTATTTATTTATCGTATTTACAATAACTACAGGATTATCCATGTAAAATAGCAACCATAATCCACTAAGGTTTAAACTTGTGCTTTCATGAGTCAATCTCAAAATCGATTTTTTATAAAATAAGGTTTTACAAATACATATACGTTAATGACGCTAACAATATAAACAACTTACGATAAACAAACCCATTCCTAAATAATACTTATATGTAATATTGCTTTACGTATAAGACTATAGTCGGCATACATCCAATGGTTGCTATATGCCATAACTTTTAATGTAATATAAAACTGCGGTATAATTTTATTTTATACTAGCGGTCTTCGCGACTTTATTTCGCATTGGACATTTTTCTACTCATCTTTGTTATTGTTTTCTTATAGTTAAAAGGTATTAAAAAAGTTATCGAAATCGGTTCATCTGTTCTCGAGATTTGGACGTACGAACTACGAACATATATATTAAGTGATTAATGTTTATATCATAGAAAATAGTGGTTTTAGACATTTCTTTTTTAAAAAGAAAAAGGTTTCTAGACGTAATTTGCTGATAGATGAGATAGTAATTTTCGAAATTATTGTTAACTTGGATTTAATGTTGTTTTACAATAATTATGTACCTTAGCACCTTATTCGTAAGTAACATTATTGAATACAATTATGTGAATGGATATGCAATCGGTCCATTTAGTGGGCAATGTTCCAGTTGATGGTAGTCATCGAATAATCAGTGATCAGTGATCATATCATTTAGACATTAATTATTTTTACCATAAATTATGTTGTAAGAAAGATACCTAATAAAAATTAAGCAGACAGAGATTTTTGAGTGAATGAATATTGTGATTTTGTACAACTGTCTCCATCATATCTTTGTGATCGAAGTATCAAACTGGATTCCTACCGACATACTCTATGTATACCATACCATAATAATCACGCCTTTTATCCCCGAAGGCGTAGCCAGAGGCGCACATTACGGCACTTAATGCCATTGTACAATGTTACACCCACTCTTCACTATTCATGTTATGTGAGTCCCATGTAATAGGGGGTGAGCGCCTATTGCCATATATCGGGCACATTTCAGACTCCGTGCGACTACTAAGATTTTTAAAAATCCCAGTAATACTTTGCCTGACCCGGAAATCGAACCCGAGACCCCTTGCCCGGCAGTCGCACTTGCGACCACTCGGCCAATGAGGCAGTCTTTGTATGTGATGTGATTGGGTTATTGTAATTCTCTTCTTATAGTTACCACCAGGCGAGCTGTAATTTTGTTTATTATTTATTCAATGGAATAGAAGAAATTACGTCATCGACTTTTCAGATGTTTTTCTAATCTAGATAAGTTACATAATGACAGTCGTAATTGACCAGATATGCGAAATAAAAAATATTTTTTTCTTTAACAAACATTTTTTTATTGATAATTCCTTTATTTAACATAAAAAATATTACATTATACTACTTATTACTAATATTACATAATACAAACACGGTAAGTTAAGAAGAATCATGGTACAAATAAATATGACCATGCAGGGTAAGTCAAGTCAAGTCAAAATCATTTATTTCAATTAGACCAGGAAGGTAATCAAGTAATCAAGTATTATTGCATCCATAATGTTCATATACAGGTGGTTAGAAAATACAATTAGCAACAATTATGGACCCTGTCGGGCACAGCAACATTAAAAATTGGTAGGAGAGAGAAGGCACTTTTGTACGTCAACAACAAAATTTAGAAGTAAAGCTAGTTGCTCATTCCAAGGTGTAAATTCCTATGGAGAAGAACGAGCAAGAAACTCCATAGGTTTTTCAATCGGGTTTACAATTACAATACAATTCTCTAGTTACATAGTTGGTTCTCACACAATGTGAGAACAATGCAACAACTAAATCCAGGCAGACATTGAAAAAGAAAACAACCTAAGGACAATAAGATCATACAGTCTGGATCTAGTCTAGGTAAAACGACACCGAAAATCCCCAAAATTTGTTCATACAAAAGTAGTCTCTAAACATTAGAAGTAAGGTATATAAAGCAGTGACTAGGAAATTGGGAATTGACCAGGTATATTAAGTCAGGGCTGTCCAAACAAAGGCCCGCGACTTGTTTTCTTGTGGCCCGCGACACACATTTTAATCTCAATGTCTTCATCGTGCAACAATAATAAAATTCAGTGTATGATTTGTCTATATGTATTGTCTGTGAGTAAAGAATACAATGTTGAACGTCATTATACAACTGGAAATATATTTCTGGCCCTCCAGCTTTTGTTAGAAATTTATTTAGCCCGCGAGAGTATATAGTTTGGACAGCCCTGTACTAAGTCTTTAAACACAAAGATTTTTCTTTACAATATAGTCACAAATCACCGTTACAACGCAAATAATCTGGTAAATTAACAATTACGCGTCGTTTGAACCAGATGCACCTTAAAACAATCAACTCGTCGAGTACCGGTTTTGTAGACACAATTATAGAACAATAGGTTGCGGTCACCGGTGACCGCTTGGTGTTTGACAGTTTAAACAACATTTTGTCCCAAAGGTGATAAAAGTTTTATTTTAGTACAGACGGCAACAAATAAATTTTCAATTTTATCGTAGTGTTATGATTGAAAATTTATGTGCAATATCTTTCGACTTAATGCAGGAAATGCCAAGCCTAGACGCTTGCCGATTCGGAATCGTGGAGAACCTAACGGGTTACCGGGGCTCCGGCTCGACATGCAGGAGAAGGAACGGGGTGGTTTTTAGTCAGTAAGAGTCTGACACTCCCTCCCGCCTCACCCAGGCGGGAGCATTCGATGATTTCCGTCCTTAAAAAAAAGCGTACCTAGATGCCTAATACTGGTTACCACTTGTACATCACAGCAGGTTTCAAAGGGCCGAGAACTGAGAAAAGAATCGACTGCTTGGACTTTAGGGGACAAGGCAGGGCCTAGTACGAATTTGTTTTACATCTAACAAGAAACGAGACGTTACAGGATTTAGCTCTTCGATAGTTCGATTTCAGGTTCATAGGAGCCGGCCATACAGCGCCGCTCTCAGGTGAGCAATCAGCGGGATCTCCGTTATATATTCGTGAATAGATGTCGACAAATTATTCTATTTATTTATTTTATATCTACGAATAGAACGGTAGAAAGAACCGATTACATTACTCAATACATATTCAATTGTAAGAAACAATACATTGAAAAAATAAATATTTATTAGATATAGTGCATTCATCTCTTTCGCAATACTTCAAGCATTCCGACAAAAATAATCTTCTTTCACTCGAAAACGTCACACTCTGGCGCTGGATCCAAGAATCGGTTTAAAAGTTTCATCGTGCGTGGTAATGAAGATTTAGCTCTGACTGTTCTGCAAGATGGCACAGCAAATAACTGGTGCTTTCTGAAATGAAATGAAGCGAAATGAAATGAACCATTTATTTGTGATACATAGGTACATTTAGTTGGTCATTTTTAGATTAAAGTGCGCTATGATCAGCCTATTTTAGGCATACAAATACTCGTATAAGAGTTTAAATCAGTAAGTCCATTAATTAGTTAGATAAGTAAATATGAATTTGTCGTGTTTTAATAAATTACATGTCAATAGTGTTTATTTATTTATTTATTTATTTATTTATTAGGTTAACCAACAGTTATTTACACTCATACATTCATTACATCATAATAAATAATACTTTGGTAAGTGTAACAACTACTTACTGGCTAACACAGCATGCACATAAAACGGTTAGAATAAGTTACATAAAAAAAAATTATAACATTCGAAACACGATCAAGCAACATAACATAAAAGTTGCGATCGATTAATTCAATTAATTATGGGATTAAATTAAATTAAATTAAATTTGAAATTCATTAGAGTCGATATGTGTAGGATTACAACCAAGACAAGGGTACCTAACGTAATTAGGCACCTGAAACAATTGAATACTAATTGACTGAAACAATTGAACACTTAATTGAGAATACTTGCGATTATTTTAGATATCATTAAATTATTGATTGATTGATTGAGTGTTCGTCAAAATGTCAGATGAGGAAGACTTAATGCTTAATAAATTATAATAAATTGATGTCAATAAGTAGGTAATTAATGGATTATTGTAGTCAATACGTTATAGCTATACATAAGTCAACAAATAAGCAAAATCAAAATTTATCCATTAAAAAATCTGAGACACTATGATAACATTTTTGACACAGTAATTGTTTTAAAGATTTTTTAAAAGAATTAACATTAGCTTGTTTTAGCTCTTTTGGTAACTTATTATAGATAGCTGGAGCCATACGAAAGATACTTTTATGCATTAATGCACTGTTGCGACAGTAATTTCTAGTATCTATTCACTTCCACTCATGGAATTATATTCACCCTGTTTTACCACATCCAATGTTTCTCAGGAGAGGTCCCAATACCGAGCCCTGAGGAACACCACACAACTGTCTGTTCTGTACCTACCCACTCACTATAGATAAAGATCTGACCCGCATAATCAATTTGAAGATATCATCTATTCTATTTATTATTCAGCTAACGTAAATTGACATTTATCTGATTCCTAAAATACGGGATCAATCGAAAACTTTCAGTATATAAAACGAAGAAAAATCTTACCTGTCATCACACAGTTTTCAGTTTTACCGCGAAACACAAAACGTCAAAACACCTGCCATTTTCTTTTCTTTTTTAAAAATGAATTCAAAGTTAGTATCAGTTCTATTGGCATACTGCCTATTCTACTATTTGAGCGGGGCTGAAGGTTCGTTTATAAAACCTAATAATGTGCCAAGGGTTGGCAGAAGTAACGAAGAAATGAACCCGTTTGACCAAGGATCTATGGGTTACGTTATCAAAACGAATAAGAATATACCACGCATGGGCAGAAGGAATTTCGACTCGGTAAGTAAACTTTGCTTTTATTATTCAAACTTCTTTTTTATATTATTATTTCATGCAAATCTATCGGCATTACACTAAAATATTTTGTATTGTCCGACATCGTGGTTTTGGGGTCGATCCCGAAGTGGATAAATTGCTTTTGGCCTGCTAATTTACCCTTAAACTGGTCATATATGGAGTCTCTAATGTATTTTGAACAAATATTTATCATTTATTTTCAGGAAAACCGCTATGACATACCTAAGTTTTATCAGCTTCCTTCAGAAAAGTTTGATGTTTATGAAGGTAAGCAATATCAAAACTTTTACCAAATCTTCTTGGCAGATAGTTTAGCTTAATAACGAATATTGATCCCTAACAAATTATTATTCTTCAGGTGAACAACAAGAATATAATCAAATTCCGATAGAAGCCTTCTATCCCAAACAAATGGAAAACCTAAGACGGTAATTTAAGACGAAAAATAACGTGAAATAGTATAGATTGTCAAGTTTTGAGCTGTTCGTTTTAGTAGTAGTTAAGTTGAATAAATAAAAAATCAATTTTAGCATGCATGCAAACTTCTTGTTTTAATTTTATTTTTTCCGCATGTGCATATTACACGTAGTCCGGAACGTATATTACCTGTCAAAGTCAAATGATATAACCCGACCGTATAAAAGATATCTGTCAAGTTACTTTTTCTCTTTCGTGCACGTGTAAAATCATATCTTTTCTCTCTTTTTAACCCCAATCCGAGTACTATATCAATAATTCGGTTTATTCTCCAATTTCTTCCACGAATTATTGTGGAAGAAATTTTACTATTTATTTTGAAATTTAACATCTAAATTACTTGTGTGTATTTGAATTAAACAAAATGGTGTTGACTGCGGACGTTCATCTTCCTGAAGAGTCGGAATTGACGGTTCCTGAGCTGCAATTATCATCGCCAGCTCTGTTCGCTGGTTCTTTTCATTTAGGAAAATATTGTGAACAAGCTAATAATGTGAGTAAAATCGTTATTTTATTTATTAATAGCACGGTTTTGTGTTAATCCTATATTGGTACTGATTTCTTGTTATTGAGAGTTAAATTGATTGCATAATCAAAAATGTATAGAGGTTATGTTATGATAGATTCCAGGTCAATATAATTATTTTTGTGGATCCAGAAAATAGTTTATAATCGAATGGCTTGAACGTAAAATTAAAAAAAATAATTGTCTATATTCAGTTTCATTTATTAACGTAACTTTTTCAATGTTTATTCTATTTCTTCAATAATGTAATAAGTTAGAGTACTTGTTCCATTGTCAAAATTGGTGTTACTTGTAACATTATAACATTCATAGTTATTCCTCTGATAAAATTTAATTGCAATAAAATCGCATTGAAAATTCGGCCCTCAGTGACTTGATTTCTTTAATCATGAACTTTTTTCTTTAATGAGTTATGAGTACAACATTGACTAATAATTTAACAATAATTTTTATTATTCTTGTAAGGTTAACATTTTAGTTATTTTAATCTGCTCATTTACTGCAATGGATAAGACTCTTTTACTTTGATTACATACATTACAAGTCAAACCCCCTGTGTAGTTAAATATCGCTCCATCTCTGTCATTTTACAAAGTGAAATTGACAGCATTTATTTCAATTAATCCTTAGTTAAGCAGTTTGGAAATGTCAAAAATTGAATTTGTAGTGACAGAACTATAATTGAGCACACCTTAATATTCGCATTGGGAATTAGTCTATACTGGGTATGATTCAAAAATCTTGGAAATCGGTTCATAAATTGCGAAGTAATCAGCGAACAAACAAAAAAAAAAACAATAAGCGGAACATCAGTAAAATTGTTTTACACATAGACCTAGATAGTGACCTATGTGTAAAACAATTTTACCGACTTCAAGAAAAGGAGCAGGTACTGTGTTCGGCTAATTGTTTTTTTTTGTTTGTTCGCCTTTAAATATTTTAAAGCTACTATCATCAGTACTTCACAACAGTGGGTACTTGGTAGTTTTCATAGTCAGTTTAACAATCTATAGATGTTGGTAAAGTTACTCCCGAATCATCTCTTTCAGGATAATCTAACATTTAACAGAAAAAATTAAGTGTAAAATATACCAAGATTTAAATGACATTAGGGAAGATGACAGAGTATGATAATTAAAAATGTAATTAGTCCGTTAGTTAGGTAATGAAGAAATATAAGACACGTATTTATTTATTTTGTCGTATAATAAAATTATACTTATAACAAATCAAAGTTTAGGAGTGGGGTCTAAAACGTCATTTCTACGTATAATATGTACATAGAAGTGACGTCACGCGACATTTCAAATCAATATATCGTCGAAACTATTTGTTTCCATAAAAAAAAATACGTGTGTAATGTTCTTAAATAATCTACCAGACGGACATTAAAATAATAGTCATCTACCCATTTGTAGCATAACTGCTAATTGGCAAAAGTTGTTAGTTCATTGCATAATGGGATTATTTAAATAAATTAAAGATTTATGAGTAACCGTGTAGAAGACCCATGCTTCGGCACGAATGGGCCGGCTCGACCGGATTGATACCACGGCCTCACAGAAAACTGACGTGAAGCAAAGCTTGCGTAGTATTTCGTCGTGTGAGTGAGGTTACTGGAGGCCCATTTACCCTCCCCTTCCCCAGTCTCCCAAATCCCTGAATCTCCAACTATCCTCAAACTCCTAATCCCCAAAAGACCGGTAACGCACTTGTAACGCCTCTGGTGTTCCAGGTGTCCATGGGCGACGCCGATTGCTTACCATCAGGTGATCCGTCTGCTAGTTTACCGGCTTATGCCATAAAAAAAACCGTAAGATATGCTTAATAGTTTTGCTATCAAATTCCAGGAGTTCATGCTCTGTCGCTTGGAGGAGAATGATCCTCGCAAATGTCTGAATGAAGGCAAAGCAGTCACCGCTTGCACTATGGACTTCTTCCGTAAAGTGAAGAAGTCTTGCCTGCAGGAGTTCAACCAGTATGCTAACTGCATTGACAAGAGTTCCGGAGACTTCTCCTTGAAGCAGTAAGTTTTACAATTAAAAGACTAGTTATCTAGTAGTTTCACTCCTTTCTTTAGCACTAGCATAGCTTAAACTGTCAAACACCGCGAGGACACCGGTGACCGCAACCTTGTTCTAATTGTGTCTATAATGACGGTTCGACGAGTTAAGGTTGTGAGCGCGACTAGCCATATACCGTGGTGGCGATGCGGTGTTTTTTCAATAAGAGTCTGAACTCCCATTTCGGCTCACCTAGGATACAAGGGATTATTTGATGACTAGCGACCCGGCCCGGTTTCGCACGGGTGCAATATGCGTGTATTATACATATAAACCTTCCTTAAGAATCACTATTAAAACAAACCACATCAAAATCCGTTGCGTAGTTTTAAACATCGAAGCATACATAGGGACAGACAGACGGCGCATAGCGACTTTGTTTTATACTATGTAGTGATATTTAATCCTCACAATAAAGATCAGAGGCCTTAGTACGAGTTTGTTTTACGTTCAAAGTAATCGTAACGAGTACGTGTTCGGCGCTGTGATTGGTTGGTTTATTGGCGCTGGCCAATCAGAGCGCCGAACGCGCTCGATACTATTATGTTACGAATGCGATAGTTATTCGTGCTTGGCACTCAGAGTGCCGAACGCGAACTCGTTTCGAATAGGTACTTTAAACGTAAATCAAACTCGTATTAAGGCCTCTGTTAACCAATAGGGTAATTTCTTAAATTTTATTTCAGTGTCCATCTGATAGATTATGGTGGACACCGTACTTTTTCGTTTCTTACAAAATAGGTTACCGTCGACGATATATTGATCTGAAACATCGCGTGACGTCACGATTGATTGCATTTTTTAGGGAGCGGAGACGTAATGACCTCCGACTCTGACTTATAGGTATGACAACATTAAAAATATGCGTATAATACTTTTTCTAACTGACTCATTAGATTTTATTGTTTCGTAGTCTTGCATCCTGTCAACGACCCCATACAATAGTAACCCGTTGAAAATCATCCCCTAAATTTATTCATACAAAAGTGTCTCTAAACATAGGAAATAAGGTCTATAATGTAGTTAGTGGAGAGTGGTCACTGGTGGGTCACCTTGGGGATACATGGGTTAAGTGATATGATGTCACATACAAAATATATGTAACATATGTCACACGCGGTTGGCCTAAATGGAGATGGCGGGACGAATTGGACATCTATGACAAGGATTGGCCGCAAAAAGCTTTACATAGAGAGGAGTGGAAGGAGGGTAGGGAGGCCTTTGCCCTGCAGTGGGACGATCATGGCTGAAAATCTATATAAATAAAAATTAATTTCCGTTCGTTAGTCTCGCTAAAACTTGAGAACGGCTGAACCGATCTGGCTAATTTTGGTCTTAAAATGTTCGTGGAAGTCCAGGGAAGGTTTAAAAAGTAAAAAAAAATGTTTAGGCAGTACGAAGTTTGCCGGGTCAGCTAGTAAATAATAATAAAAAATGATGCAACCTCATATCATACATCAGGTGTACCAGAGTATCAGGTGATCCATTTGCTTATTTGACACCTATCGGGTGTATGTATCAGGTGATCCACTTACTCGGTTGGCACTCGGCACCCTTTACCCTATTCCATAAAAAAAACTAAACCCATTGTTTCAGGCAATCCGCAGAGATTAAACTATTTGGAACCTTTATTGAAATATTTGCCGTACATTTCCAGATGCCGCACCACCCAGAATGTGTTTGACAAGTGCGTGCTAGACAAGATGAACATTGAACGCCCAGGATACGGTTACTTCTGCGAGGCCCGCGTCCATGATACTAAGAGGTATGTCGTAGCATCCTACCTATTCCACTAACATTTATAATTAAGTGCCGTCCATAAATTACGTCACAAGATAAGGTTTTTTTTTTATGGGGGAATATCATCGAATGTCTGCTCCCGCCTGGGTGAGGCGGAAGGGAGTGTCAGACTCTTACTGACTAAAAACCACCCCGTTCCTTCTCCTGCACGTCGAGCCGGAGCCCCGGTTACCCGTTAAGTTTTCCGCGACTCCGAATTGGCATCGGCCGTATTGGGCCCCATCTGTGGTGGTCTGATGGCTCTTTGAGCGGAACGCGGAACGCGACGCGCCGTACGCTCGGGTCTGTTTCTGGTCGGACGGGGAGCCACCCATGCTCGCCGTCCGCAGGCCCGCGCTTACGGTGGCCGGAGATCGTCCTGCGATCCCCGACGCCCGGTGTGTCCTTCGCGATACGATAAGGGGTAGCGAGGGGTCGACGAAATGTGACATTGTGTGACAAGGGGGAGGGAGGGATCCTATACCTACTTTGTGATGTCACATTTCAAAAACTAATATAAAACACGAAATATAACTTTATTAATGTTTTTTATTTTGCTTGGTTTGGTATTAATATTTTTTTAAAGTAATTTATAAAATAGAAATTAAACTGATTTCGGAACCGCTGTTTTCATTCAATAAGTTTTATACATACGTAATTGTGCAAAATGTGACGTCACACTAGAGCCTCACAAATGTGACTAGCTGTGACAAGGAGGACGTAATTTATGTATGACCCCTTACCTTCTGCGCGGTGTCACCCGCTGCTCGACTGTTATTGGTCGTAGCATGATTTTTTTATAGCCTATAGCCGGCTTCGATAAATGGGCTATCCAACACAAAAATAGTTTTTCAATTCAGACCTACAGTTCCAGAGATAACCGCGTGCTAAATAAACGAACAAACTGCAGTTGTTTGTACGGTTTGCGTTTTAGTTGTCCAACGACTGCTACGCAACATGTTGCGGTTTCAATTCCCGGAGCAACTCTCTGTGTGAACCATAAATTGTTGTTCCAGGTCGGCAATGTGATGTTTATATGAACTTAATACTTGTAAACGCACCCACAGGAGAAAATCCTAATGTGGATTCATGTTAAAAAGCTTTTTTCTGTTTGAATTACAGGCCAAAGCCTCTGGAAGAACCGAAGGCAGTCTACCCAGACGCTACTCCCGCGCTACCAGAGAGTGTCGAGAAGAAACCAGCGAGATTCGGCTCACGATTCTACTGGATGACCGAATAAACGACAACAGTCGTGCAATAAGACCAAAAGACTGTGGTTACGTGTCGAAAAAAAAAATTGAATATTAAATTGGCGGGAACTATTTTCATGATGTGTATAAGAAAATCAACTTTATTATGGAGTATATAAAGCATGTATTTGTATACGTATTGAAGAACGCTTATGTTTTTTAAAATACGTTCCATTTTCACGTTTTTCGCACACAACCTCAGTCTTGAAGTAATGCATTGGATGAGTTTTGTAATTCAACATTTTTATTCTTTACAATGTAATTATGTATTTAATTTATAAGCTAACAGTGTCAGGTCGAAATCATGTTATAAAATACAAAAACTTGTCTAGTGTTTTACTTTGTCAAACAAATAGCTATTATTGATTTGTAGAGTAATAAATGTTGGAATTTATTTCTTGTTTAACTTAATGTCCATTTATTATTTTTTAAAATATAAATATGTTATAAAAGCAATTGTCATATTTATCTCTAAAATGTCACCCAGCATAATAATATTATTATTTTCTACCTCAAGTTCCTACCTATTAATGAGTAGGTAATACACTCAAGCGAATCTTTAGGAAATACATTTTATAGTTTATCCTATACTGAAAGGGTATTCAATTTTAAGATCGTCATAGTGTAAAAAATTTGTAGTGATAGAAATAAGGAATATAAGCACGACTTAAACATTAGCCCGAAGATACTGCGTGATTTGGAATTTAATTACAATATGTCAAATAAACGTCATTGTCATAATATATTGTTGACATTGACACCTAAGCATGAACGCAGGTGCCGCGTTTCAGGTTACGGCGTAATGTTATTGTGGTTATTTGCATCTTGTCTCTTTCCATCATAGAAATTGTTATTATTGCTGTCTCCCTCTGACATGTTATTCTCGGATCTTTCGATTACGAAATGAATGAAGTTATTACAAACCTTGAAATCTTGAAACGCATGATTGTCATTGAATCGAGTTGTGAGTGGACATGACTGATTAAATCAATAAAATATTATTAAAAATAAACATTAAAACCGCATTACTACGTAAAAATATCGAAACTCTTCATATCACAGTCTTTGTTTATCGTAAAATTCGTATTAACATAGAAAGTTACGAAGAAATAATGTGAAAAACGCGCGATTCGCGTTTAATTACAGTAGCCTAAACAAATGTAAGATACCTATCTCATTTTATTGATAAATAATGAGCGGTTTTTATAATGAGCCGGATTTTTACGCCAATACCTATAGCTTGTGGGGTAACTCGAAATATTATGACATAAAAAACTTGTCGCCGCAAAATTTTGCCAATCGGAATGGTACAATTGGAAGTGAGATAGGGCAGGAGTTTCGGGCTACGCGATGGGTACCGGAAAAGGAAGTGAAGAAACCTACTCCGGATTATTTCGATCGGCGAACTATTACCCGGGAGTCCTTATACCAAGATCCGGATAAAAATAAGAAAATAAAGTAAGTTTTTTGTATTGTTTATCTTCTTGGTACCGTATAGTGGCGACTGACGACAGGGTTGAATACATGTATTGCCCCTTAAGACTGTCTAGTCTTCATTTGAGTTGTCTTGAGTATCGTCTGAGAAGCAGATCAAGGGATTGAAAATTTAACAGAGACCCAGCTACTGAACTCTCTGATACACCTGAACTTTTTTAACTGCAATATCCACCTACCTGCTGCCTACCTCTTTCAATAAACTCCTTTTGTGTAGAAAAGATAGAAGACTCTTAGTCCAGCCCTGACTCCAGTCATGTCATGGGCTGTTCATATCGAGGGGTAACGAACTATTAGGTTTAACCCATAAATCCCCAAGCGGTCACCGGTGACCGCTTTTCACTAATATTACATTACATTATAGACCTTATTTCTAATGTTTAGAGAATACTTTTGTATGACCAAATTTAGGGGATGGATATCAACGGGTTAAGCCACATTTTGGGCGATATTGAGTTATTATATACATTCGACGGAGAAAAATTCCCTGATTCCGATATGATATTTTTCTTAATGAATTATTGTAATTGATTTTTGTTGTTCAATATTTAAAATTGTGTGTGAAACTTTGTAATGCATTTTGAATCTTTGTAAAATTGCCATGGTGACGCAGAGGTTAAAACACCAACTGTACCATAGGTTCGAATACTACCAACTGCAAGTACCAACATGACTTTTTCCAAGTTAAATATACTTTCTAAGATTATTTGGACACCACTGACGAACGGTGAAGGAAAACATCGTGAGGATACCTCGATTTATAATGTCTAATTACAAGTTTGAAATTGCCAATCTGCATTGAGCAAGCGTGGTGATTAATACTCAAATCTTCTCGGTATGAGAAGAGGTTTTGCTCAGCAGTGGCAGTGGGCTATATATGAGCTATTAACGATGATTAAGTGAATCTTTGAGTTAGTTTTGGGAAGTTTATTTAAAAATTTTAAGTTTTATGGTTTTCTTAGTTCATTGAAGCAGAGTTACGAATCCTTTCTTGCAAAATCAGCTGCTTTTCAGCATAGCTGAGTGTGGTCTGTATGTGAAAATGTTTATAAATGCAACTACGAGTTATTTAATATAAAAAAATTTTTTTTTTTTTTATGGTAAACGGCATATGGGTCATCTGATGGTAAGCAATCGGCGTCGCCCATGGACACCTGGAACATCAGAGGCGTTACAAGTGCGTTACCGGCCTTTTGGGGATTAGGAGTTTGAGAATCGTTAGGGATTCAGGAATTGGAGAGATTGGGGAAGGGGAGGGTAATTGGGCCTCCGGTAACCTCACTCACACGACGAAATACAACGCAAGCGTTGCTTCACGTCGGTTTTCTGTGAGGCCGTGGTATCACTCCGGGCAAGCCAGCACATTCGTGCCGAAGCACAGCTCTCCCACACACTTGTATATAATAAAAGTAACATAACATCACGCCTTTTACGCCCAAAGGGGTAGGCAGAGGTGCATATTATAGCACTTAATGTCACTGAACAATCAATGTAACACCCACTTCTCACTAACTATTTATGTTACGAGTCCCATGTTGTAGGCGGTGAGCCTGTGGCCATATACCGGGCATAATTCCAGATTCAGTGCTATTACTGTTTTTTTAATACTTTGCCCAGCCTGGGAATTGAACTCGAGACCCCTTGGCCCGGTAGTCGCACTTGCGATCACTGGTTCAAAAGTGATTGTATTAAATTACCATTTTCAATGATCTGCAGAGAAGACACTTCCAAAAAGTGGAGTCCAGCCATTGAGTGGACATTGGGTTACTGGGAAAAACCTGACTGGGTGAATCAGGATGAAAAGCAGTCAAGCTCCAGTCTAAGCAAGAAGCAGGTGCTGGACGGAGCTAAGATACAGAAGAAACTGTCTGAGATGCTCTCTAAACCAGTCAAGATGAGCAAGGCTGAGAGGTAAGAGGGTTTATTTATATATGTTTTATGGGTTATGGTGATAAACTTGCAGACGGATCGACTGATGATAAGCAATCCGCCGCCCGAAACTTTAGAACAGTGACATGTGCATTGCCAGCATTTTAAGGAGTAGTTGACCCCACAGTCACACACACACACACACACACACACACACACACACACCCACACACACACACACACGCGCGCGCGCGCGCGCGTACGCACAGACACGCGCACGCACGCACGCACACAAACTGTCGCATTTATAATATTACTAGGGTTTGACCATTTGACCACTATCTCGCCCGGTGATAAGCGATTATGTGGTCTACGATGGAGCACGTCGTCCTATAAGAATATTCACTCGGGCCTTGAAGACACCCTTGTTTTGATTCGAGACAATTGTAACTTCGTTAAAAGCGCATTGTTTGAAGACTGCCATATTGAGTTGGCAAGCCCTTTTGGCGTGGGTACATGGTCGCAATGTTGGTTATTTTATTAATATTTTCTATATCATTTTTGTTGTTGTTTTTTATTGTTTTTATTCGTTTCACCACTCTTCCTGTATTTGTGGATGGTGCATCATGCCTAATGGCGAATAACCATTTCACATTTCTTAGTAAGTAGTAGCCTAAGTGAAAAATCAAGTACTTAAGGTCACCTCTGCCTTTTTTTTGAGGGGGGAAATCATCCAATGATTTCTCCCGCCCGGATGAGGCGAGAGGGAGTGTCAGACTCTTACTGACTAAAAACCACCCCGTTCCTACTCCTGCACTTCGAGCCGGAGCCCCGGTAACCCGTTTAGTACTCCGCGGCTCCGTATCAGCGTCAGCCCTATTGGGCCCCATTTCTGGTGATTGGGCTTCATCTGTGGTGAAGTTCACCTCTGCCTACCGTGTTAATATATATGACGTTATTTGTTTCCTGTTACAGCATGATGCAGAAGATGGGATGGCAAGGAGGCGCTCTGGGACGCAGTGGAGATGGTATCGTGGAGCCCATTGCACCAAATGCTGTCTATGTGAGCAATATTTTCCCTTATTGAATTTTTTCTTTTGAGGGAAAATCATCCAATGACTTCTCTCACCCGGGTGAGGCGAGAGGAAGTGTCAGACTCTTACTGACTAAAAACCACCCCGTTCCTACTCCTGCACTTAAAGCCGGGGCCTCGGCAACCCTTTAAGTCCTCCGCGGTTCCGTATCAACATCAGCCCTATTGGGCCCCATCTGTGGTGGTTAAATGGTTCTTTGAGACGCGCGCGTCCCTTATTGAATGGATTGATGTTTGTCCACTATCTCGCCTGATGGTCAGCGATGATGCCGCTTACGATGAGTCAATCCTGCCTATACAGGGTAACCTCTCAGGACTACGTTACTAACATCATAATCAACAACTTTTGTTCAATGTAATTTTCTTCTAATAATAACAAAAACAACAAAAAAATAATTAAAGAAATCGGTCCAGCCAGTCATGCGTGATGCCTTGACCAAGGGAAAAAGTGATTGATTTTTATAATATAGAAGATATAGATAGTGTTAAATGAAATATAGGCCAATTTGGAGAATAAATTTAATAGAAAAATATATTACTTCAAACAATTACAATAACAGATGACAGAACACAAAAGACGACAAGACTAAAGTACCATAGATTCAATTATGAAGCGTCCAACCTTTCATCAGATAGATTACGAACCCCACTGAAATTCTAACAACAATCCATTTGTTCCAGTCATCGAACAAAGTCGGTTTCGGTCAACTCCAACACATAAAGCCACCAGAACCAAAGCCGGGTGAAAAGAAGCAATATTTCGAAACAAATGTGCTCCACATAGTATACGAGTTTGTGAAAAATAATAACGAAATAGAGCTACTTTTCGATAGAAAATTGAGAAGAGAAGAACGAAAAAGGATTCACAATATTGTGCAGCTCAAATTACAAGCTGATGATTTAACGACTGTGGACTTCGATACCACGGCTCAAGTGGA